TGTAGTATAATGACATACATATATAATTTTTAAATCAATATTTCTTTATAAACTCATTAAAATCTAATTTTATATTGTCACTTAAAACGCTAACGGCCTTAACCAATAATACATTCGAAATCATTTTTTTCATTGATTGGATTGTAACAAAACGAATGTCCGACCAAAATTTGCCATTAAAAAAAAAAAAACAAACGGCCCTATCTACTAAAGTAGTTATGTATTAGTGTCTCGTGAACAACTCTATTGTAGGAATATCGCTCAAACGATTCCCATTAATTTAATTGCTGAATACGAGAAAAATATAAAATTATTTTTTTAAGGTCATCATTTTCCTACCAGTGATTGATCTTGACGTCAGTACAATATGTAGAAAGGTTTCTTATTTTTTCAAAACAGGTCTCAAAAATTCCCTAATTTTGAGGTTATCGCGGAAAAAATAATTATATTTTTTTAAATAAACAGTTATATATATTGTACAATAGGTTAAAAATTTTGGAATTTTTGAGACCCATTTGGAGTGAATTTGAGTTCTTGAAAACAGTCATATTTTCACTGATTTTGTGCAAAGGTTTTTCATTAGTCTCTTCTTCAAATTGGATGTAAATTTATTATTTTGGACAATAGGACTTCTAGGGTGAATAAAACGCTCTTTTACCTCATTAACTAAGAGCGCTACAATCCAAAGTACAGTGCGTTCTAACTGAATAGTTCTGAATTTTAGAGAATGCATCAAGGAAGCATAGAATTGAATGCAGCAGTAGTAATGATAATGACGATTATTACATTGCATTATATTCACTTAATTGTATTGCATGTATGTATATGTAATATATTGCATTGTAATCATTGCTAATCGCTGTGAGACTTATGTATTTATGTTTGCATGTATGAAAGTAAATACACGATGTACGTATGCATACTTGTGTTTATGTATATACATACATATGTACTGTAGAGAGAAGTAAATGTGTCACTGGTTGTTATTTAAGCTTTAGGTTGTTTTGGCTTTTATTCTTGTCATTTTTTATGTACGTGTGAGTAGAATGTCAGTGTATTTGTGTTGTTGTTTTTTAGTTGCATTGCAAGTTTTGATTCGAGTTTGTTGCGTTGCATTGCGTTAGGTTAGGTTTTTATTCGTTTTCGGATGTTCTGTTCTGCTGCTGTTTTCTGTGTTTTATGTGTTTCAAATATGACGTCAATACTAAATAAGATACATACATACATATGCATTTATTTGTCTGTATGAATGTACAGCGAAAGAATGCGATATAATTAACAATAATAACAACAACAAGTCTGTTGTATAGCAATAACAACAATCAGTTTTTACACAAAAATAAAAAAGGAAAAAATGCAGGATAGGTTGGCATGGCCAACATGTCTTGAAGTGGAATTAAAGTACATACATATGTACATTAGGGAAATAACTAATTTGGCGAAATTTTTGGCATACCACCACGAGATGGGCAATGTTGTATAATTATTGAAAATAATTTTTTTTTTGGTCATTTGAAATCAAAAACATCACGCACCAACCTCAATTTCTAATATAAAGCACATTTTTTTTTAATTTTTTATTTTAAGATTAAAATATTTATACCTATATGGGCAATTTTTACTTAGAAGTATACTTTTGTCACATCGCGACTCACAGAACTTTTTGATTTTTACGCAAATATGCTGTTACCTATTTGTTTTGACCATACCTCCGATTCTTCTGGACCGATTTTACTGGTTTTAAAGAACTATATTCTTAAAAGCATATTTAAATTAATTATCTAAGATTTGGATTCCGAAGACATTTGGAGCCTTTTAAAAACAGACGGACAGACATTTGGTGCAACCGCGAAAAAATTATAATGTAGTTTCTCATAGTTTTTAATACTCTATTCAATTATGATAGTTATATCCCTAATGTAAATACATATGTATATACATACAAATTTTAGTACATATGTATGGTGATTTTATGAAGAAAAAAGCTTTATTTGAAGAGAAAATAAGAAACCAGACGATTTTTTCTACATTAAAGGCCTACAACAAGAAAAATATATAAAACCTTAAATTATAAAGAGAATAATCAAAACAAGGCGAATAAAGGGCGATAACCTTTTTACATCGATCAGATACAGGGATGCTGGTGATGATAAATTTTAACCAATCCTTTGTCAAAAAATAAGTCATTAACATTAATGGTAAATATTTAACTCGTATATCCAATTTTTTGGAAAAATTCTACCAAGTTTAAAGAACAATGTTCTCTTTAACATAATCTATTACAAATGCAAAAATGTTGGCAAAAATATTTATTTTTCACAAAACTTTATCGCTTTTGGTGCGGGAACTTTTTTTACGATCGCGTGGAAATAAAATCATATTCTATAACATAACACGGCCCACACACAAGGTCTTTTGATCTTTTTTGATACTCGTAAAAATTGCAAAATGTACATACATACATATGTATGTACCAAAGACTTCTTTATAAAATTAATTATAAAAGTTCTAAACTGCAACCATAGAATATTATACATAGGTCTTTGAAAATTACGATGTATTATAACAGCTTTCTAAATTTTGTATTGGAGGTACATACTATAAAAAATCCTGAAACGGCTTTTACGATTTTCTCCATATGATGATTACATTTTTTCGGGGCTTCGAAAATTTTAATCAACATTTTATTCATAATTTTTTACGGAATAGACCTATTTTGCTAATTTTTCCATACCAAACTGGCTAGGAAAACAATCAATATTTTGAGTGAATTTAATAAATTTCTATTGGTCACGTGAGCGTATTTTACATGTTAATACGTTTTTTATATTTTATAACATTCTCAGTGTTCTACACAGAATGAAGATGGTGTTCTATCGGACACCACATGTTATTAATGATGTTTTACCCATTAAAAAATGCATGTTATTATAAGTCCACCAAAGGCTGTAGGCAAGAGGGCAACATTTATTAATATCAGATTTAGATACTCAAACATTATTATGAAATAAACTTTTATTTTCACTTGACTAATTATTTATTAGTCATTGCACCTGTATGACATGTTTTTGTTTCAGTTGAAATTAAAGTAAAAATTCCAACGTTCCCGTAGATGGCGCGTCAGTAAATATTTGTTTTTTAAACCACATTTGTTGCCTACTCCGCAAATTTTAATTCAAATTCATAGTTAAAATATAAAAATAAAACACCTCTCAAATATAAAGCTAATACATACTTCTATGACTACGATTTTGTGTGTTTTTTATAAACGGCCGACATACAACAACTACTATTATTGTTATTATTGCTGTTATTGTTGCTATTGCTTATGCTGACTGCCTCATTGCAAATCTAGGTCATGGATGAAAGAAAAAGCGCTGTAAAGTGGGTCATGAATATTGTTTCACTCACGTTCAAGTGTATTTCGAATTTTTGCTTATTTATATATTTGTTTTTGCGTGTTGATATTTTTTTATTCTTTTGTGTTTGCAAAAATATTCGTTTTTTATTTGTTTTGATTTTGCTGTATGATTCAATATATTATTTGTCATTATAAATCACAAAGCAGGAGAGTAAAATTAAAAATAAAATTGTTAATTTTTAATTATTTTCTCATTTGTATGACTGAAGTCATATAATGCTTCGAAATAAGGTACTATGTATAATTTGCATAAGTATAGATTGCTTAAGTAAGAAAAAAAATAAAATAAATAAATATAAACATAGTTCTTAGTTCTTAATTACGTCCTTAGCTTCCAATATTATTATTTATCCAAATTTATTGTCTTTCTAAATTATATTATTACATAGCTTCAAATTTATTAAAGAATAAAATGACGTCAAAGTCTAGGAAATATCTTAATATCCATTTAAAAACATTTGTAAAGATTTGTTCCATTTTTAACATAAAATATTAAAAACCTTAACTTTTATATAAAAATTAAAAATAGATTTGTAAATTCGTACATTCAATATAACAAAAATATTTCCATGAGGAACAAACAAGGGTGGAGTCCTTTAGTATCTCTTCCAAATTTAGTATCTAAACTTGTAAAATATAAATTTTTTGGTCTTAGAAAATAAATCTGCTTTGAAAGTTTTTGTTAATACACTTTGAAAAAATTTATGCGTTCAGTTTATAATGCAACACGTTGCAATAGCATTAAGTATGTCCAACTACATTGAAAGCAGCTAATTTTTATGTTTTCTTATCTCCAATTATTAAAGTTTTGTGCTGAGTCATTAAGAAATATAAAACTACCGTAAAAATCTCAATGTCAAAAATTAACTAAATAGAGCTATTGTATTTTTCAGGGCCAAAAATATGCTATTTTTGTTTAAATTTAATTAAATTTTTCATAAAAATAATTGTTAATTTTAAAAGCACCTATCTAACCATTTCTTCAAATTCTGGTAGAATGCCGTACAACACATCATAATTCTAACAATATGTATTTTAATTATCTTTTACCTTATTTTTATTTGCATAAAATGCTACATTAATTAGAAGTGGTTACTACTTTTACATACATAACATACATACATACATACATACATACATACATACATACATACATACATACATACATACATACATACATACATACATACATACATACATACATACATACATACATACATACATACATACATACATACAATTCTTTTAGAATGGAGTTACTTTATGTCTTCTAAATTAGAAATTTTGAATATAGTGATTCGATGTTTACTTATACTGAATTCATAATTATTCATAATTAATCAATTAAATAAATTTTTTATGTATACAAAATTTCAATATATATAATATATGTAAATATATATTATAATATATGTGAATAAATAATAAAATTCCCTAGAAATGTCGTAAATTAAAATAAATGTGTAAATAAATAAAGTTGAAAAAATTAGTTCGCGATATTTCACTAATATCTGTATAAATGTTATGAATTTCTTTCCTTTTACAATTTTTAAAATTAATCTATTTTCTTCGATTACAGGCTTGGCCCATCTGATTTACCAAACCATTGGGCATCAACATTATCCACAGCAACAAAATCATCAACAAGTACAACACAAACAGAAACTGACTTCTCAACAAATATTACAAATAATTTCACAACAAATTCAACGCTATCAGCAACAGCTACAACAACGACAATTTCAACTCAGACATCGGCACCAACGAATACAACGCCAGAAACAGAATTTAGTTCAGCAGCGATTAACAACATTTGCAAGCTGCCGCGTTCATCGCCGACTGCAGCAACAGCTGCTGTAACGGTTTCAAACGCTGGATCAGCAGTGTTAGGGCTGGCACCGGTAGTTCCAACCTCAGCCGGTGTTGTACCCCTCCCCACCACTATAGGTAGTGTTGGCAGCGCGGGAGGCGGTGGAGGGGCTGCTACAACATCATCAATTATTGCCAACCATAGAACCAATACAACAACAACGGATTCCATTAACAGCGTTTCACCTACGGCAGCTGCAAATGTGCTTTTAGCCAGATTTTCTGCTTTACATCAGCACCATCAACAACAACAGCAACATAACGTATTTTTAAACAATAACCATTCATTGCTTAATAATAGCAACAATTTGTTGCCTTTGCATTTGCAACATCATCAACAACAACAACACCCTTCATTGCATAAAGCTGCTACAACAGCTGCCAACATAGCTGCCGCTTTACAACGTTCTGCCAATATGAATGCGGTGGCATCACCGATCTCAACCAATTCCACGACGTCGTCGAATCGAAAAATTCGAAGGAAAAACGATTCCAAAGCTAATTTGGTAAGTTTTGTTTTCAAATTTAAAAATACATTTTCAAAAAAGATTAAATTATTTTTTTTTAATAATTTAAGTAAAATGACGATTTAGGTCCACAACATTTTTTTAATGAAATATTTTTTTTAGCCTCAATCCCAAATAAATAAGTGCAACAATGAGAAGCGACGTCGCGAGTTGGAAAATAATTATATCGAGCAACTCTCAGAGTTTTTGCAACTTAATAAGCGAGGCGATATGTCCTCAACCAAACCGGATAAGGCGGCTATACTAAATCAAGTTGTGAAAACGGTAAGTGTAGCTTGAAATAATTTGTCTTGTCTACTCTCTTTATCGATAATTAAAAAACCAAACGTAATAGAAAAAGTAATAGAAAACAATGAATTGAACAATGGATTCAATCATATGTTTTCATGTAAGTAAAACATTTTTTAAGACATTTTACTATTTTTTAAAAGACTTTCAAATAGATCACAGGATTTGAAAAATAAAACTTGATATTAAATTTTTATTTATTAAATCTACGTGAAACTTCGCTTTAACACCAAAAATAGTACACATTTTTGAAAATATACAAAACTATATGAAAGATTTTAATATGACACGTATTTTCTAGTACTTAATTCAAAAATCCCAAATTTTGGATTATGCAGTCTTGTAGTTTTATGCGTTTTTAAATTTTAAATTGCTCGTCCCCAAAAAAGTTTTCAGCGAATAATACGTTTGCAAAAAGTAATTTTATACATATATAATACATAAAAACACTTACATATTTCAATTACTTTATTTTTTGGAAACATACATACATATACATATATTTAAATCATATATATGTACATTCCGCTGATATGCGTCATAACTAAAGAAAAAAATCTTCAAATTAATTATATATTTATTGATTTCCGCGATATTAGTACTAAATTCTAAAAGTTATATACATAAATAACTGTCTTTATGATTTATTTTTAAAACAATCAATTACATATTTTTAATTTGTTTCTCCTTATAGTATCGTGATATTTGCGACAGAGGCCAAAGTCGTGATATTTCTTCGTCTTCGTCAACACCGGCATCGACAGGAACCACAACATCACCATCGACTACAACATCTTTATCAACGGCAACCTCGGGCAATAGTACGATAACCAATAATAACAGTAATAACCAAAACACCTCAACACGCTGCAGTCGTTGTGCCACTGATAACTGTTCAATACATCCGGTGCAACAAGGTGAAGTGTCATCTACAGAACCACCACTGCCAGAGCCATCACTGCTAAACGGACAAGTGCCTGAAATTTCGGCATATTTTGAAGCATTGGAACATTACATTTCATCGGTAGGTTGGGTTCTGCTGCAGGTTAATTCAGCTGGAATTATTGAATCGTGTACGCAGAATATACGAGAACTGATTGGTTATGAAAAACAAGAGTTATATCGTCAACCATTGTATATGTATCTATACCCAGGAGATCATGCCAAATTAGATCCTATCATAAGTAATATGTCGTCATCTTCGTTGGGTGGAGGCAATGGCAGCGGTGGAAGTGGCAATGGCAACATTCATGATGTTAATTCAGCATGGGGTCTGGGAGGTGAAACAGAAGACCATACTAGTAATTGTAGTAAACCGGAGCGTAGCAATTCGACCAAAGTTCGAATGCTAGTCAAAGATATACGTTCATCAACACAAACCTCAGGATCTTCAACGACCACAAATAATGATAATAGTAATTCAATGGACCAAAAACCAAAATATGAAGAAGTTGTTTTAATGGCTGCTCCTGTCAAAGGTGTGTATTAAGAAAGATCTAAAACTTACGCACAATAATTCGGGAGTTATCGTAGTTTTTAGTTTATTTAATTTATTTTTCTGTTATTAATTTAAGATATTGATATTTCTTTTAGACGATGGTGATTCGACATCAGTTTTGTGTCTTATAACAAGGCCCGAAGATGAATCACCTTTGGAAATGAATATTCAACAGCATGTTCAACATCCCACTATCGAACAAGTAACCTTTAAATTAGATATTCATGGCAAAATTATAACCTTGGATGCAACCACTTTAAGGGAACCTTTTAAAATGCATCTATCGCAATGGTCAGGTCGGTTGCTACAGGATTTGTGTCATCCTCAGGATTTATCCGCACTAAAGACGCATTTACGTGATATACAGGATTCCACCGCCGGCCTTAATGCTTTAAATGCCTCGCAGTCACCCGGAAGCGGAGTAGGTATAAATCCACCTATATCGAATGTTACATCTAAACCATTTCGTTTACGTTTGGGAGCACCGGATGTCTATGTACACGTAAAGGCAAATTCAAGATTGTTTATTAATCACACACCTGGAGAAAGTGACTTTATCATGTCGGTGCAGACATTGTTAAATACCGAAAGTGATATGAATAGTAATAACACCGGTATGATGTCTGGTAACAGCGGATTGTTAACCACAGGGATGGCTGCGATGTCTCCCGGATCTTCTTTGGTATCCTCGTTAGTTTCTAATTTATCTATGGACTCGTTTGTTAACAACAACTCAGTTTCTTCACCGCTGGTTAATGTCTCAGGTTTAGGGGGATTGGTAGGTGGCGGAGGTATGCCTCCGCATACAACCCAGACTACAAATGTGGGTGGTCCTCTAATGACATCGGCAGTTATTAATGGTACTGGTGGTGGTGTTAGTGGTTCTGGTGGAGGAGGTCCAGTTACAGTTAATAGCGGCTCTGGTATAAGCTCACAAAGGGCTGCTTACACAACTACTGCTACATCAGGGGTGGCTTCTAATAATTCTTCATTAGTTAATTCATTTACAGCTTCTCCTGCTGGCCACGAAGGTCCATCATTCTATAGTAATGAATTTGATTTAGACTTGCCACATTCCTCATTTGAAATTGATCCATCCGTCTCGGCATGGAATGATTCGAGACCAAATTCCCGAGCTTCTGTGACCACGCCTGTAAGTACACCGAGACCTCCTTCAGCGGGACATGGTTTTAGTCCGGCTGTGTGTCCCTCGCCCTCTACTCCTTACCAGTTATCATCACATTCGGCGGCTAGTTTGCCTTCTCCTCAGTCAAATGCGAGTCAAACAGGACCTGCAGTAAGCGGTGGGCCTGGACCATTTGGTTTTGGTTTTCCGGCATTTGAAAGTAATAGTGAGAAAGTGGATAAGGATGGTTTAAACAATAATAATGGCAACAGTAACAACAGCAATATGCCAAGTGTTAGTGGTGTAAGCATTACTGGAAATGTATCAAATGGTGGAAGTAATCAATTAATGTTGGGCAGCGGTGGTGGTTCCTTATTACCAACTAATCAACAGCAACAAGCTCAACCGCAACAGCAACAACAACAACATAATACAACCCAAAAGCCACCTACTGAATCGGAAAGGTTAAGACACTTACTCACTAATAAAGCTCACCCCTCCGCCACAAATTCTATACTTGGGCCAGATGGTGATGATACAAAGGTAAATTAAATTTTAATTCATATTCCTGTCTGTTCTGTAAATCGATTCGGTTTCAAAACCGATAAACTTTTATAACCGAATTTGGTGTTCTGCAAATCGAATTTTTATTTGAACGTAAAATTCAGAAAAACAATTACATTTTTAATGAAAAAGTGTTTAAAATGCCCATAGCATTTATATTAAGTTACAATTATATTAAAAAATGCAAAAAACTATTATTTAACTTATTTTATTTAAATTAAAATCGATTTACTTTCGACTAGATTTGTGTACTCGCTTTTAAAACGAGAAAAATTATGAGAACAGACAGGATTATGTACTTTGCTTCTGAGTATTAAATTTAATAAAACTAAAGTTAATAACATAAGTCGGAAACAAATTTTGCCGACTTTTAAATTTTGACGGTTAAATATCAACTTTTTTGGAAATTACATTTTTATTATCAAAAATAATACCCTTTAAAAATACAACAAGCTTTAGAAACCCGCAAACAATGTATAGTTTACTCGTATTGACTCTTTTAGTTTTACAAACAAGAAGAGGACAAGGAGAGTTTACAGTCCAACATGCCTGGAATGTTCAAAATGGGGCAAGGCCCGATTGGCCATGGAGCTATGGGAACTTCGCGTATGTTTAATATGCAAAAATCGAATTCCAGTAATCCCATGCTATTATCGGTAAGATTTATAAATATGTATTTCAAAAATAAAGTTAAACATTTGCAGCCCCGTACGACAGAAGCAATAAACTATTCGTATAATTTTTGTTTCAGTTACTTAAATCTGAAGATGATGAAAAAGGTGGTCCATCTATGGGGCGTTCTGGTGATATGGTTCGCGTCAAAGATGAACCACATGGATCTCATGGTGGTGCGCATAGCAATCCGAACAATTTGTCACCTGAAGATTTGAGACGCATTCTTAAACATCAAGGTGACCCTGCAATGACACGCAAACGTTCTTTAAATGACCCTGATGATGGTCTTTCTGCCAAAAGAAGCGATGATCGCCCCTCGAAATTATGTGAAAACAATAAGATGTTGGCTCGCCTATTAAGAAATCCTCCAAAGAATATAAGCATGAATATCCCTACTGGTATCAAGATAATTCCTGATAAAGTACCAGTTGCCGTTGGTCGTGTTTCCTCAACCCTTAGTGGTCTTAGTGCCGCATCTTCATGCAGTAGTAGTGTTAGTAGTGGGATGTCATCCATGTCTAATAAAAGTTCAGCAATAACAACAATGGCGGGGTCTGGTGCTCCTGCGGGTCCCGGGCGAGGAAGAGGACAACATAAGCACCAACAACAGCATACTTCAGACGTCTACCTCACTCAACAGCAACAACAACAGCAGCAAGGTTTGGATCCTATACCAGGTGGAACCAATTTACAACGACCACCTCAATCGCACCAACAAACTCATGGGCAAATGGAATTTTCTTCATCTTCTTCATCAACGGTGGATCATCCGTTTGCCACCCCTCCATTAAACACAACGGCCCCCTCAACAACATCTACCTCAACATCAAGTGCAACAACTGGTACCCCTCTGGCAGGTTTGGGCGATGGTGATTCCGAACTTTCCAAAATACTTGACAGTGTTATGGACTACGTTTCTGATGATCAGTCGTTTGCACCCTCTACCCCAACCGGTTTGACACCTCAACAAATTAATGAACGTTTGGCTATCAGCGAAATACAAAAATCTCTCATGGTAGAAACATCAGCATTTAGAAATGGCCCTAATGCCATTATTGGTTCTCAAACCGCCCAACAAATGTTACAACAACAAATGCAGCAACAACAACAGCATTCTCAGCTGCAGCCTCCTGCTTATCCAGGTAGTGGGATTCCAGGTGCTGGAGGAAATACCAATAGTATGACTCCACAGCAATTACAGCAGCAACAACAAATGCAAGTGATGCGCATGCAGCAAATGTTGGAAAACATGAGAGCGAATCAAAATTTCCAAAGACCACCTCCCAATTATCCAACAAGAGGTAGGGCACCTGCAATGAATGCGGTTGCAACACCTGGTGGAAGTATGTCTGCAACACAACGATATCGCACATTGGCTCAGCAACAAATTGTCCAACAGCAAAAGGAACGATTGTTGCAGCAGCAGCAAAAACAACACATGTTAGTGCCAGAGAATGCAACAGCTCGTAACGACCAATTGTGTAAGTTTTATAATTATAATTATTTTCTTTTAAATACAAAAATACAATTTGTTTTTTTTTGTGATTTTATAGGCTTAAATCCCAACATCGGTACTCTGCTCAATACAGTCGCTCCTAATGTAACATTGTCACGCACAAATATGCCTCCCGACTCACAATTAAGTCCGAATTTTGCCCAAACCATGATGCAACAACAATTAAGTCCGGGCCAAAGAAATGCTAATTTCAGTCCACAATCTAATACAGGTAACGTAGTTGCAGTTGGTTATTTATCGTAAAATTTTATAAAATATGATATAATTTGAATTCCAGGCTATGGCCCACAGTATTCCCAAAGTGGACAACGTTTATCACCTCAACAACAATTATCGCAGCAGGCATCTGCACAACAAGCGCAAATGGCATTCCAGAATAGTAACGCCGCCCAATTATCACCTAGACAACCGCATTTTGGCAACCAAGGTCCTAATACTCCCGCAAATGCTAACATACCTTCACCAGGTATAGCACCGAATGTATCACCACAACAGTGGTCAGCACAGGCTCCAGTAAATCCACAACAAAGAGCTCATTCACTGCAACAGCATAATCCTATGCTAAGTGCCCAATTACAGGTAGATTACAAACTTTATGGAAAAAATATAATATAAATAATAATTTCTTGCATATTAACTTTAAGGGAGTAAGTCCTTACAATGCCCGCCAATACCAACAACGAGGACGAAGTCTGAATTCGCCGAGTGGAGCGATGACGACAGGTCCGGGTGTTACATCGGGCCCTCAAGGTCCTGCAGCTGCTGGGTTGCAACGTCAAAATTCATTTCAAACTAATGATGGTGGCGGATTTGCAAACACAACACCGAATTCACCATCGCCACAATCTCCATATGGAGGTGGCAGTGTTTTTCAACAGCAACAAAATCAGCAGCAGCAAATGCAACGTATGCAACGACAAACAAGTATGCCGCAAGCTTCGCAACACCTGCCAGGTATGATTTTATCCCCCTTAAGATGTTTCTAAAATATTTAATTGTATGTTTGAATATGAAAATCATTACATTGAATATTCAATGGCTTTTGAAATATTCCAATATTTAAACGTTAGATTGCTTTTTATTTAAATGGAAAAACACCTTATTCATAACAAATTATCAAAGATTTATAGAACAATATTTGTCTCATAAACCTTTAATTGTTATTAATAAGGCCATTACAGTTTAAAGGCATATAGAGAGGCAATAATTTAAATAATTTTCATCACTTTTAATGTAAATTTAAATTAAACAATTTAGTAATATACTTTTTAATCTGCGGAAATAGGAAAAATGTTTAAGGTCCTTTAATAATTCTCTAAATGTAAACATGTAGAAATATGAATTTTAATCAGTGTAAAATCGAAAATATACATAGGATCTCCACGTTCTTTTGGTACAAATCACAACCAGAATCACACTCACAACAATAATAACAGTCATCAGCACCACCATCAACAACATCAGCATTCACATCATCTTCATCAAAACAATGGCAGTAGTGGTGGTCATGATAACACTGCTGTTGGCAACACTAGTCCACATGTCAATGTAAACGGTTTTACTACGACTTCTAGTAGTATGTTTTCCAATTTACATCAATCCACTAATAATTCAACAACTACTACATCATCGCAACAATCACCATTGTCGTCATCATTATCATCATTAACAAATGATTTTTATGGTCGCATCATGCAGACCGGTAAGCGGGATTAAATACAAGAACGTAACATTAAATGAATAACCAAAATACATACATATGTACAATATACCTGTAATAAATAGTACTTTAAAACATTGTATGTATGTATGTTTGCATATACACACATTTGTATGTATACATTAGAGGTTCCCAAAAAATATGAAATTTGTTTGGATGGGTCTCATTTTGTTCATTAGTATCTAAAACTAACTGGTGTAAAATTTTAGCTCACTTGAAAAGTGTAAAAATTCGTAAACGATAGGACATTTTTGATTTCTTCAAAAAATGTGCATTTAACAATATATTCCCTTAAAGTGTGGATCAATCTTATCTTCAAGAGTAAATTGTTTAACGAGGTAGTAAACATTTATATCGAAGGTTAAAACACAAATATATTAACCAATTTTCCACGCCACATATTCAAAAAATAATGCATTTTTTACATTTTTTTTTGTACAAGTGATGTAAACAAAAATGTGTATACCTCGTTGGAAAGACAACTTTCCATAGAAGATAAGATTTGGAAATGTGGAAATAAATAAAAATATACTTTAAATGGCATACATTTTGAAGAAAGCAGAAAAGGTCGATTTCTGGCACTGAATCCTGTAATCCGATTGGGATAAAACTTTACACAAGTAAGTTTTAGAAATTAATAAATAAAATAAGTCCCATCCAAACAAAATGGATATTTTTGAGGCACCTCTAATATATGTATGTCTGTACAACGGATCAAAATTAATATACTTTGATAAAAATGGAAATAGTTCTAATCAGATCATACCAGTTTAACAAAGAATCAAGTTTCAAAGTGACACTAAACATAAACATACATATTTAAGAATAAATATGTTCATTTGAAATTTCATGCACTTAGTTGCTTTACAAAGTAAGTTTGTTTGGGTTCGGCATGTATAAATTACTTTTTCTTGCTTTTTATAATTTCTAACCCTTTTAGTGGAAATATTCTTCAAAGTTTCTATAAAATTCTTAAAAACAATATGGAAAAACTAGATGATTTTACAAAATCTATTGTATCTATGATTTTATAAATATATTGTACAGTTTTTCAATTTCCGTAAAACACTTAAATAATTAATTTTATGTCACGGGCGTAATAATTGTATAAGATTAATTGTAGAAATTTCAGATCTGGTAAGAAATTGTTTCCTTATTTTCGAAATATTTTTATAATTTTCCACTTGTGCGTATATATATGATATCAATTATGTGATACTACTTTTACACTTGATTTTTTATACACACATACACCACCAGTCCATTTAAACTATACTTTCAAAATTATATAAAAATTATTATACATACTAGGGGATTGCGAATGTCAGTTTAGCGAATGCACATAGTATAATTCAAGCTAATTTTAAAGGAAAAGTGAGAATTATAAAATTTATTTTGATAGAAAAAATCGAGTTGTAACTAAAACGCTAATTTGCATATGCGAAAGTGCACATTCGTTACGCCCCTAATACGTGCATACATTTATGATACATACATATATTTTTAAGACTAAACAATTTTGTTTTACGGATTAGCATCGCATGTAACCTGTCTTTTGTATTTACACATAAAATTAAAAAAATATCGAGGGACTATATATGTACCTAAGAGAAACATTTTTAGAACAATTTGTAATATTTAAATTTTCATTTCATAATGTCTGATTTTGGTATCTATCGCGTGAAGCCAAGAATAACATACATACCTAGTTTTAATTATAGTTTTTGCTAAAATTTAGGATGAGAGTATTCAATATAATCCCTCGATAAATCCCTTGCAAAAAATGCAAAACAGTCGTTTAATAGAGAAAAATATATTCTTTTATTAGCTCTGCGTGTTTAAACAAATAAAGATTTATTGTTTTATTGTTTTATATATATATATATATATATATATATATATATATATATATATATATATATATGTTTTAAAGCCACAAACTGGTAATGTGATATTCACTTTGTTTCGAACAAAATTGATTTCCGAATTTTTTCCCTTAATACTGAACTAATTCAAAACATAATATTTGTTTCCATTTTACACATTCTTTTAACAAAAACTTTATGTACATACATAGTAATGATAACTAGTTATCCAGAAAAAAAAAACTATATATAACTGTGTGCCAAACAGGCACCACACTGCAACTATTTATTTAATACATTTAGTTTTATGTACATTTAAATAATTTATTTTTTGATACCGTTATGCACCGTCCCTCTTTTATCAACTTAATTCTAATTAGCACACAAATAATTTATTTTGTAAAATAATTATTTTATATTTCACACATATTTATATTTAAATAAATAAAAAACTGTTATTGTTGTGTTGGTCTCCCTTACTGAAATATGAATTAAAAATCCCATTCATGTAAATATTATTTATACGTAATACATATTATATTATCAATATACTATAGTCTATGTAATAAATCAGATATAAAAAATAATATTTCTTTATTAATTTAAATCTGATTTTAGCTGGTAACCCCGCCTCTTCAGATTATGTTAAACAAGAACTACGAGCTGTTGTAAGTGGTCGAGCTGCAGCAGCTGCCAATTCGGGTGGAAATGGTGTTCCAGGGGGAGGAAATGGTCCTGGAGGAGGTGGCATACCCAGCGGTTTAAGAGTCGCTACTCCTCAAAGTCCACATGGACCACAAACTTCTCAGGGACCTATGTTAGGTACGAATAGTACGAATTCTATGGCCATGACACAACAGCAGCAACCACAAACATCAATAAGTAGTGGCAATGTTTCCAATAATTCAACAGTTGTAGCTAGTAGCGCTGGAAATGGCAGTGGAGGTAGTAACATTAATAATGCTTTATTAAACACACCACCAGATCCAACAATGGGTTTTAGTTTTGATCCACGTAAGTATTTACAGAATATTCTTAATAGTTTAAAAGTTTCTCAACGCAAAACCATTAAGATTTTTTTAAATATAAATAATTTATTTGAAAAATAAAGGCAGTGTCCTCCTTATTCATAAACCTTTGACAGGTTTTATATTAAAGATATAAAAGAGAATTAAATTTGCCAACATTAATGGGTTTATGAATATAAAAAACTTGACCTTTTAGTTAAAAATGGTTAAATAGAATAATACATGCTTTTCAACCACAAATTATAAATTTTATGTTTTTCTTTATTGAATTCATTTTAGAGGATTTTTTTGGTAGCAACTCTGCAAGGTGACCCTAAAATGTATTTTTACTCTAATGTGTCAACATTTAATGCCGACAACGCTGACGTGCATTCAACTTTATCCTGATACGATACATTCAAAATCAACTTTAATACAAACATCTACGATATTATGCAGATGTTACGTACGTACATACATATGTGTGTGTATTAATGTCGTATATCGTATATGCCTGTATCAACTACAACAACAACAACATACTACGTAACAATAAGGTGCAATAGTCCGTTTTAATTTTTTATTTCCTTTTTTATTTAATATATACAAACTAATAATAAAATTACTATTCGTATACATATACTCAAACACACAAAAACATACAAACACAGCGTTAGCATTTATTTAAATTAAATTTAGTCAAGTAAATCAATTAATGGCAAAATAAAATGTATATCTGCAACGCAGCACTCAGAGTTTTGCTTTTGAAACTAACGAAAAAAGAGAAACATTTTAAAAATTAAGTTGAAAAGGAAAATAAACAATTTACTGCATTTTTAATTAAAAGTAAGGGTTATAAAAACTGCAAAAAAAAAAAAAAACTTTTTTAAAACGATACTAAATTATATTATGTAAAAATAGTTGGAAATTTAAATAAATAATTGACATTTCATGAATAATTACCTTAACAAAATGCACTCTTGAAGAAAATAGGGTTTATAAAAAGAAAAATACAATTTTAAAATTTTTTGAATAATTTTCTAGAGAATTAATTGAAAAACAATACGCAAAACCAATTATTAAATACTTTTGTAATGCTAAGAACTTTTAATATTAAACTTATTATATTATAAATATATAAAACATACATATAAATAGAATAATTATGGGACTAACGAAATAACAAACACCTTTTTTGCGCCCCACATTTTCACTGATACCCCTTCCTCTTTTTAAACATTAATCAAATATATTATATATTAACTATATATTAATGTTATTATGTATTTAAAAATTAAAATAGCAAATTTATTTAAGAGCAAAGTCATGCAAAAGAAGAAAATTAAAATATATTATATATAAAAAATATATATATTTTAAATTAAGTTACACTTAAAGTTTACATTAAAAATGTGTACATATATACAATATACATATATGCATAAATACATAAGAAAAATTAAAAAAAGAATCGTGAAATTGTACTAAGACACATAATTTCATATTACACTACTGTATACCAAACACGTAAAACATATTTAAATAATGAAAAGTATAAAATGTTTTAATTCATGTTCTATTTTATCTATGTTATCGTAAAATCTTATTATACTATTCTGTTACGCGTACATATACATATTCTTTGAATATTTTTTATTTATTTTCTTTTTATTTAAGAAATAATGTTACAAAAAAAATAAAAAAGCAGAGCTTATCTTTATATATTATACATTATTAATCATTAAATTTGTTTGTGTAAAATTTAATCAAAATTGAATGAAAATCTTCTCACAAATTTGTTTGCAAAATATAGTTAAAGTATAATTGTTTCTTCACCTGTGATCAAATAAGATATAAAATATTTCGAAAATCAAGATAGACCCATCAATTACATCAATAACATCTGAGTATGTGTATAGGTGAACATATTTTAAATAAAAGTTGTTTTTTTATACTTGTAAAGATCTTGAGATCGATGCCTAATCGAAAAGTCACACACTTGATGAAATATAAATCACAATAGAGTTTTAATACAGACAAATATTTCGTCAACACTTTTTAAAATTTTACAGGAAAAACAAAAATCTAAATAAAATTAAAGCTATCCTAATATCAATAAACACGTTTGAATATTATGTTGCATTTTAGGACTTTCTGGCACTAGGAAATGACAAATTTTTTGTTGCGCCCTGTTCAATTTCATATTAATAAACTCGGTATTTTTGACAATGAGATCTACATGTATTTTGATGCTGTCGACCATTTTCAATCAAAAAGTCGATTCTAAATTTTTTGGTTGTTACGCACTTTTTCAATTCAGATTACAATTTGTTTACAGATTACCAAATATTCATTTATATATCACTCACGTTTATGAAAATGAAAAATGTATTTTTTGTTGTTTTATGTTCTATTCATGTGTGACAAGACAAAAATTCATTCCTGTATTTATAACATTTTATTTTTCTACAAAATTGAGAAAATTTTTGCTCTAGCATTCAAAAAAAAAAAACAAGTGTTTATGCTTATCATTTTGAATGTTCAAAATTGAATGAGAAATATTTGGGAGTGTTCGTCTTTTTGTAAATTTTGTTTTTAGTTTTACAAATAGTGTTTGCTATTTCTGAAATAAAGCGACATCATCATTTTAAAAATGTGATACTTTTAACTTTAAAATAATGTGTACGAGTATAGATTCGACTTTTATAAATATGATGTAGACTGTTAATTTAATCTCTAAAAGTTGAATGTATCAAATTTGTTTTCTTGTCCAATATTTGTTTACTATTTTTAATTTTTCCTAGTTTCCTTAAACATATTAAACTCCTATTAGAGAATTATATTTAAAGGCTATTGCAAAATGAAATTTATGCATACAAATATGTGAAAAACAAAATAAATTTTACAAATAAAACGAATGTCAAAGTGTTTTCAGTGTGATAATTTTCTATTTAACGGTCACCTTAATTTTAAAATCTGTAATAAAATAATATCTGAAAAGTTGCTTCAAAAATTATTTACTAACATTTTCAAAAAACAAAATATTTACATAAAAAATCCGCTTAAATTTGTTTATTTATGCATTCAGTTTCATTGTCGAACATGGTTATAACGAACTATATCTATAGCAGTGAACCTAGATTGTATTAAACTTGCTCATTTTGTGATAGGTATTCTGGTTCTTTTAATCTTGTTTTTATTCTATCTTGTGATTATTTAAAATGGACGACATCTTTTAGTTTAAGCATTTTCAATCAAAATAATAAGGTCTGGTAATGCAAAAGTTAAACAAAATTTGTACAAATAATTGCTATCAAACGGCTTTAATGAACTAAATTTGTCGGTCTCTACGAGTTCGTTATAACCGTGTGTGACTGTACACGTATTAGGTGTTTCCAACTTTATATAGACTTAAAATTTGATACAATTAAAAATGAATTAAAGGAATAGTGGAAGTTAATTAGGTTTATCTTACCTATTTCAGGGAAATATAAGTTGTTAAAAACAATCTTACGACATTAGGGCTTATAAATTCTTTTTGAAATGTGTTAGTAGATAAAAAACATCTTGTAAATAATTTTTTCTATAGAAAATTTATAATTTATGAAATATATTTTTTAATAACAAAAATTAGTTAATTTTTTAATAATGAATGTTGAAAACATTTAAAATGCTTTACTAACAAAACAAATAATAATCACGAAGATTAATCAAATAATTATTAATGTTTATACTATTTTGTATTTAAATTTAATATAATAAAATTATTAAATATAGCAAAACAAAACCAGAAAATATAATTTTGATAATTTATAATGTTATATTTGGTTTACGTTGTTTTATTTAAATTTTTTAGTAAAATTTGTATAAATATATTTTAAAGATTTCTTAAATATTTGTTTTATTGTTGTTTATTTATTTTTTTTTAATTTCATGCTTATAACTTTCTTAAAACAATAATAAAGAATGGTGTGTATATAAAAACTGAAAGATATACATACATACATACATTATGCATAAAATATTCTTAAACTAATATAATGTTATCTACAATTTTAAGTCATTTAGTTTTTTCTATATATTTTTTCTATTAAGATAATAATTATAAATAAAATATTTTTAAAATATTTAAAACTTGTAAGAATGTTAGCAAAACACTTTTTATAAAAAAGATATATAATTTAAATATACATACATATATTTATATTTGTTCAGCTTTCAATAAAAAGCTACATTTTTTCAAAAGAAGGCTATTTTACAGGTTTTGTTTAATATTTCGTGTTTTTCTTAAAAAAAATATTAATTTTATTTTTATTTTTATAAATATTATTTGTTTCAAATATTTTTATTGTAATAATATTTTTTGTTAAGTTGGGTTTATAAATATTAATTAAAGAAATGATTATAACAAGTTTATTATATATAATTATATAAAAAATAAAATACAAAGTAATTTTTTTCTAAAATTTTTTACTAAATAAAGGAAAATATGTTTGCTTATTTTAAAGAATATATTTTATATACATTTTGTTTTATTTTGTTTTAAATTTATTTTGTTAAAATGGACAACATTAAAAAATTCACTAAGACCACGATTTGTGTCGCCTTTTTATAATTAAAATATCGATTTGAGTCCTAATGATTACGTTTTGTGTCGCTTCATAAATTTGTTTTATAAATTCATGTCTATCATTTCAGAAATTAGTTTCTCCCCTGTTTTTCGCTTATATACATATATTATGTTGGAACAAATAAAAAATAACATTTGTTTAATATTTAGAAATTCCAAAATTACAAATATTTTTATTACCGAGATCAGATATATGGAAAAATATTAAATTTGCTTCGTTCAATAATGACGTAGATCGGGGCCTCAAAGTTAAGATCATATTGCTATATTATATTACGTTCATATTAAATGAGAAAAAGTATCTTTGAATTTACCAATTACATTTCAAATACATATTAAGTTCGAGTTCAAACTTCAAAATTCAAATGGAAAGTAACACTAGTTTACATATAAATACTTTTTGTTTGCTCATGGAATGAAACATATATTTTTGAAAAGGGCCGATGTTTAATAAGCAAATTTTTTTTCTTATACGTCAAAATTTTTGGAGATAAAGAGGTTTTAATTTTTCTTCAGTAGTGCTGGTAAAATATTTAAAATGACTATCGATTTTTCTGGACTTAGACGGCCTAAATAAAGAAATCCATATATGTACATAGGTTTTATATTATGAGCAAAATCGTTGTAATCTAGTATAGTAAATATGGTTCAACTTAAAGTATTATGATGTGATAGTTACTTCACTACCTGTTATTTGCATAAGCTGTGATAGGGAAATTATTCATTCATGTTCAGTTTTTGTTTAGTTTGAGCACAAATCAAGAAAAATCAAACAAATTTTATTTGATTTTACTTTTTAAATTCACAAACCAACGCAGTATGTACATTTTTAAAACTATTTTTTCGAAAATAATTTCAAACTATCGAATTGGATTTTGAAAATTTGAACATAAAATTATATGTATTGTCATAAGATGTCTAAATATGTACATGCCAAATTCCAGCGTATTTGGGATACAGGATCTGATTTAAAATTCATTTAAAATGCTCAACCATAACAGCATACTAACATAACACCGAACTTTCGAATTTCATTTTAATTTTTCGAACATAACATTGCATTATCATCAGGTGTAAATGTGTGCAAATTTTCAACCAAATTGGGCTACGGAATCTGGTCAGAAATTCAGCAACAAAAAATTTAAATTTATTTATTTTGAAATTGTGAAACAGGCAGTAAAACTTTGAAAATAAAATTGAAAAATATATGAAAAAAAAAAATAAAATAATAAAGTATAAGATATCGAAATAAGCACTAATAACATGCTACATATAAACAATATAAATTATGCTACTAAAATCAAATCATGCATTTGCATATTTCGGTTTCTCTGATCATCAGTAATAGAATTCAATAGTTTTGAGGTGTTCAGAATATCCCCCCTCATATGCATTTCAATTAAAATTGTAGTATCCTGCAGAGGTTCCGTTCCGTACGAAAAATATATGACATACTTACATATGTATGTATAATTGTTTTCTGAGGGTTCTCATTTAAATGGAGGGAGAAGTGTTTAATGATGACGGCATAAAACAAATGAATCTTTTTTCGAAATTCTGAAGGCAATGACATATACACACACATTAATTGTAAAAATATTCAATATGAAATTATTGCACTGAAAGCAATTACTGTTACAATAGATAAAAAAGCATAACTAAAATTGATATTATTAATACTTGGGAAAATAGAAATACCTCTCTTTAAGTTCAAATTATAAAGTTAAAAAATATTAAAAAAATATTAATTGAATAATACAATATAAATAAATAATTAACAAAATAGGATGCCCTCATTAGTGAATAAATAAGAATTTAAATTTATAAATAATCTTAAGGAAATTAATATATGTAAATATTAGCATTAACAAAATTTTGTTTACAATTTAAAAATAATTAGCAGAATTTCAAATAAATAAAATACTTTTCTAAAAAGTTAAATACATGAGGCTTGTTCTTATTGAAATAAAATAATTGACAAAGGCATAATTCCAAGTATTAAAGAATGGAAAAGTTATATTGTAAAACCATAAACCTCATTTAAAAGTGTAAAAAAAGTATACTAACACAAATTAAATTAAGAATAAACAAATATTACACACACTTTTATCACGAACTGTAAAAAAATCACCTTTTATTAAATATATGAAATTATAATAAAAAATATTTATTATTTTGCAAAGCAAATCCCATATTGAGAAATACACTGACACAAAATAACCTCTAGTTTTTAAAAAATTATGAATAAAATAATAATTTAATAATTAAAACTAAACCCATGAAGTACATTTTTAAGTGCATTAAAACCAACCACAATATAAATATAAAATACATTTTAAAAAAAATATTTAAAAGCTGAAAAAATAATATACATTTTTAAGGAGTTGTTGAATAATAATAATAATAGAAAAAAAAAACATAAACTAATAAATTTCAAATATACACACATACATAAATGCATTATGTATGTACATAAAATACGAATGAAGCAGAATTAGCCTTTTGTACCAAAATTGTATATTGAGAATTAAACAAGACGAAATAAAAATTATCAGGAAAAAAACACACATATTCTATACATGTACCGTGCTATATAAGGGCATTGAAACTAGAAAGCTAAAAAATTTCATTTTGACTGGATCAAAGGATCCTTTTTTTAAATTTTCATGATTTTTTATATACATTGCAAACAATTATTTATATATTATATTTTATTAAAATATATGTTTTCCAAAGTATGTTGTATTTTTTTTTTTGCAACAAATCTGATTGAAGTGTTTTGTGACTCTTAATAAATCTGATGAATTTATTATAACATTTACAATGTTGAACAGATTTCTGAATATATTTTATTGTAACGATAATTGTATTATTTAAAAATAATAAAATCCGACTTTGATTTAAAAATTATCGATAAAATAAAATCAAAAGAATGACACAAAATGTAATTATGTATATAGCATGGTACTATATGTATAAGAATATACATTAGAGTGTCCGAGGAACAGTCTTTGTAAGAATTTAATGTCGGAATACCACTCAATCGATGCGTATTAATGTACTGGACACGATGGTCCTCAGTTCTCTACCAGCGATAGAAATATTGACCTCAGTATAATTTTTGAAAAATAAAATATTTTAGATTTTTTGGAAATGGGTCTCAAAAATTCCGTTTGAACATATTGTACTGAGATCAATATTTTTCAATCGCAGGACCTTTTCAAAAAAATTGTTTTTTTATTTTTCTTGAGGTATTCATTATAAAAACTGGTCCACGGGACACTTATAAAAGCTATATTTCTAACTTAATGCGATACGTACGATACTTGGATTTTTAAGGTTTAAAAAAGTTATTCCGTTAATGTATGTATCACTAACTTAACCTCAAAAGCAACAGAAATCATATGGACATATTAATACATATTACAAAAAATCAATTTTCTCTCCAAAGTGAAATTAATGATTTTTTATATTTATTCATGTTATAGTTTTCAATTTTACAATATCAAAATTAAAAATCTCGCATTTTCCTTGATATCTTCATGAATAAAATTATTTTTCTGTCAACCCTTTTGGGTTATTTTATTTACTTATTTTTACATAATTAAAAAACAATAAGCTATTCGTTTTTAATAATATCTCCATTTATGAATAAATTTTTCTGATAATAGTTTCTTAACTTATAATTGATCTATGATTTAGATCTCTAAGGTTCCATGGTTATTGCATTAAGTTTGCGATATAATATTCATAACATTTACACACAGTTTTATATTTAGCTATATTATTTTAAAGTACATTTTACGCCTGTATCATTTTATTACATAAAATATGGAAATTCAAAGGACCCCTTCTCTAGTACCAATATTAAGACAAAGTTTAAAATATGTATAATATATTTGAATTATGAATAACAAAATATGATATATTCATACAAAAACCAAGAAAAAGTGCAAAATAAAAATAAATATTGTTTTATTGGAAAATTCAATAACTATTCACAATTATGTATTTAAATTAAACATTCAAAAATGTAAATATGTATATTACGATTTATTTTGAATTTACTT